CTCTCCCATTCCTGATGACCAGAAATGGTATAATTATGTGGACTAACAAAATGCAGAATCCACTTGGGAAGGGGAACATTTTAAAACATCGTTTTGGGTGTGTTAGTTAACCCTTTATCCATATTAGAGGGAACTTGCATAAGAGATTAAGAAAGAGCTAAAATAAACAAGAATTCAGTAGCATTTTAGTAAAGGGAGGAAGATATATGGAAATGGTATTGTGGCACTTTTTTTTTTTTTTTTAACTAAATGTGGGACTGAATGACGATAGAACCTATGGGACAGGAGACATTTAGAGATTAAGAAGGTTGGGGGAGGGGAGTGGGAATGATAGTAAGTCAGAGGAGTTATCTTGAGAATCTAAGTCACTGGGAAATTCCAGGAAAACTTTTGGAAGCCATTGGACCTCTGAAAATGTGAGAGGTCAAGCCCAAGTGGGCTATGTTTCTCTGCTCCTGTCAGAAAATAGTTGTGGATGTGTTTCTGTGGGATCAGATAATTAATCTTACACTTTTTACTATTTCACCTTTAAATAAAGTTAACAAAAATGTTTCCATCTCATGATGGTGTGATCATTAGAAACCAACAGAATGAGTTTTCCCATCCTGCTAACCCATCAGTGAAATGAATTGATAAGCTGATGAGTGAATCCTGAACCTAATGCCATTTTAAATTAGACTCGGGTGATTTAACTTTCAGATATGAAGAATGAATCAGAATGTATTTTCCATCCTTCACTTGAACACATGGGTATCTTTATTAGAAGTTAACCTATGCCACCCCTTTTTTATTCTAAGGAAATTGGAGTAGGATTTGAAAATTTCTATGGCTAGGAAGAAGTCGACAACAAATTTATGTCTTTGAAATCATGGAAATTAGTGTTTAATATTTCTGCTCTATGCTGGAACTGGTATCAAATGTTACAAATTAAACATATGGACAGTAAAAGTATGTTAGATTTTATGGCAGTTAATATTTGAACCGAGTAGTACTCTTAGCTGATATTTTTTCTATGTCATTAAAAACCCCTGGTGCCAAGCATGTAGTTCACATTAAGCTGCTGGTGAAACTCCCAAAATTAGACTTATGGCCGTGTCATAGGTCAAAATAAAACTGAATGTGCATAATTTTGTTTTTTACTCAGCCTTAAAATCAACCCTAGAAGCTGTCACATTACCACAAGATTGAAAAAAAAAAATCCCTAAAAGTTGAGTTACGACTTCATCAATTTAGTCACTGAATTTGAACTTGTCCATTCATTAGGGTAGACCCTTCAGAACCTTCTCCATCCCTCACCCAACACAGTAGCCAAAGAAGGCATGCGTGCTGAGGATTGGATTGGATTGGGTGCTTTTTAAGAGAAGGAAGTATCATGTTTGATCAACTCTTTCTCCCCATCTCACCAACCGCTTAAGAAACTACATCCCTTAGAGAGGCATGAGTGAGGGTATGGAAAGAATGGACAAAACAGTAGCTGGATTTCAGTTCATTAGTTCAGTTCTCAATACATCAGCAAGTATAGACATTCTTATGGTATGGGAAACTATTAGAGCCAAGGAATAGTTCCTTGACATCATAAAATTTATCTTTTTATTTTCCAGTAAGTACTCCATATTTTTCTTTTGGTGGCTTTTGATTCTGACCTTCATATTTTCTAGATTGTTTGGCACTTGGTCTGTAGTCAATCCAAACCATCCGATCCTTAATGGTGAACTTCAGTTTCAAGTATCACTCCTCCCTTAAAGCCATTCATGCTCATCCCAGCCGTGACTCATCTTTGTCAAACAATTACATTCTTTCTAGTATGATGCCAAATTACTTGATTGTGCTTTAGCCTTTCTCTGCAGCTACACTGTGGGTAAAATTAAAGCAGGGTATGCAAAGACTACCTCCTTTCTAATCTCTGGCAGTGAATGGCACAGTACAGAGTGGATATTAAGCACCAAAAGCAAATTCACTAATTGATATTTTATTGAGATCTTCAGAAAGTCAGATCAGTATATTTTTTGAAGTCTAAGATCATAATATTTTAAAGTCATACTTTTAATTTAAAATAAATGTTATACACCTGAAACTAAGGGAAAAATACTTCTGTAGGAAAAATAAAAATCTGTTCAATGAGCACAATATTTTTCCTAATGAAAAATAGAATTTATACAAATTATTTAATACCAGTTTGTTCTTGAATGCCAAATGTGAAGATTTAACTCTAGGTGTTTTTTACACTAAGAGTGGAAAGAGTGAATCACTTTTGGTGCTATTATCACCACGATAGTTACTGCTTTTTTCAAGTTCATGTTCATCATGACAATAACTTTCATGTCTTTGAGTTGTATCCTATAATATTGGGGAAACTAAAGTGACACTAGAAATTATCTACATTCCCTATTTTATTCTTTTCATTAACGGAATGAAGTATCCCTAGACATTAAACATTTTCTCTTGAAAATTAGCTATAGAATTTTGGCAGATGTTTAATCCATAATAGTTGGTTGTGATCCATGAACTTTCTGCAACAATATTTCCTAAATTCAAAACTTCTAACCCTTCTGAGATTTGGAAATTTCCATGGTCCTTAATTGCATTTCCTGGCATAGAAAAGACAAATGTCTGTTTATGCAACTTTTTATATCAAAGCCAAAACATAGTGTCATCTTTAAGATAGTCTTTACCAATCCAAATACAAAGTAAGATTCAACTTTGTGAGGTGTTATCTTTGCAAATAAATAATCTCTGGTGACAAGCCACTAGTCTGGAATGAATGTAGGAAGGAGGGCATGTTCATTTGCCTATCTTTCCATATCTTTGACAAATACATCTTGAGTATAAGTTTTATAAGGACAGAGACTTTCTCTGTCATTTTATTGTGCCTAGAACAATGGCCACCATATACGGTTGTAAAGGTTGTGTTCTACACAAGGATGCAGATGAAAGGAATGAAAGGGATAAAATCTAGCCCATGACCACACACAAGTCAAACTCCAGAGGGGCTATTTTCATGCAAAGGAGGCATTTCTCATTAATTTTCTTAAAGACATTAAGTAGAATCACCTATGTCATTGCTACAAGAGTGATGCCTTTAGTAGGAGCTCAGTAACATTTATGATTGCTACATGAAGGAGTTCCTTCTATGAATGGCTAAGTTCACCCAGGTATTACAGACGACACCTGCATTACAGCTAACCCTCTACACGGTAGCCAATAAGTGCATTTGGCAATAATTACTTGAATTTCAGGTATTTTTCTATTGGAAAAGAAAAACACAAATACAAAAGATTATTTGGGGATAGGAGAAACAGTATCTTTGTGCACAAATTACTTTATACAGTCTTTTTACTAAATTTATTCCCCCTATTTTTGTGATATGAAAGGCAAAAACAAAATGTGTATATGTAGTGATTTTGAGTACAACAGACCTGAGGATGTGAAGGCAAGACAGCCATAGAGCATCTAGGAATTAAAGATGAGATACAAGCTGGGCTCATAGAGACCCACGCTCTCCGTCTCGATTACTTGGACCACCTCTCTTAGTCTCTGTGCATGTTTCATTTGCCTCTTTGCAGGTGGGTTCCCTCCTCTTTCTTACTGTTGCTGTTCCCAGTGATTTTGTCTTACTATGGCTTTGGTTTGCTGTGGTGAAAACATCTCTTCCATTTCTAAATGACTTAGCTGGTGTGTTATCACAGTCTCTGTATCTTTCAGTTAAACTTCTCGTGAGGATCTGGTCTGGCTTACTCCCTAGTGAAATGTCCCACAACTGTGTGAGGACAAGAAAGGGATCAGGGCAGAGACAGGGAAGTGTAAGATGGTCACCTGGTCTGCCATGATACATCAGCAGAAAAGGGCTAGGGGTAGAGCTGACTGTAGACATTTGTACCAGGATCACTTTTTCTATCAACTTTCTACATAATTTCTAATATTAAATGTGCTTGTTTTCAAGTTTTGTAAATCAAGTCTTAGAAAGTGGTGGTGCTTTCTTAGGGGTTTTCATATTACCTCTTTATTTTCACATACCTCTAATTGAAATGAAGTGTTTTTTTTTCAATGACGAATGTGAGCAGCAAACCCCAGTAATAGCTGCAGTTCCTGCAACTTTGCCATCAGTAAAAATGGCAGATAATTTTACATCACATTCTAGTCATTGTATAAATTTCAAGACACCAGTTATGGTCATCACTGCTTTTAAATTATCCTAAACACCTGCTGCTAGATTATTGTAGTTACAATTGTTAGGCAAGAAGACAGTTATTACTATCTTACAGGTTTTAAAAAGATATTCTGTATATTGTTTTCCAGTAGAACTCCTTTTCTTTAAAATCCAGTGGACTTAAATTTATTTTTAAAAAATATTATTATGAGAGGGGCACCTGGGTGGCTCAGTTGGTTAAGCATCTGCCTTCAGCTCAGGTCATGATCTCGGGGTCCTGGGATCGAGTCCCGCATCAGGCTCCTTGCTCAGTGGGGAGCCTGCTTCTCCCTCTGCCTCTCCTGCTCCCCCTGCTTGTGCACATTCTCTTGTCAAATAAAGAAATAAAATCTTTAAAAAATATTATTATGAGAAAGAGTCCTTATGTTTCACCAGATTCCAGATAGGTTTAAACGTGGCACCAAAATGCTGAAATTTTCTACTGCAGAAATATAAGAGCACACTAATTGCTGAATTTTCTAAAAGCAGTTGCTTATTTGTGCATGAGGTTTCTAAGGTCTGTCTTCACCCAGTACATTTATAAATTAATATAAATATGTTTAGATGAACAATATGTATGTTTATCTGTTAAATGTAAACAATCATAAATAGAAATTCATCATGTTTCTGTATACATATATGCTTATATATACCCAGTAAGGAAACTACAATGTATATGGTATGATTTTCATCATTCATAAAGACATATGGAAGTTTTAAATTATTGAAAAATCTTAACATAGTAGCCATACTCACAGCCATTTCAAAGGCATTAAATCTAAAGACTAAAGCTCAAATACTGTCCTTTTCACAGGCTACTCAGAAAGAGATTGAGAAACAGAAGGTTCACCTGAAGAGTGTCACAGAGCTAGGAGAGGCCTTGAAAACGGTTTTGGGCAAGAAGGAGACCTTGGTGGAAGATAAACTGAGTCTTCTGAATAGTAACTGGATAGCTGTCACTTCCCGAGCTGAAGAGTGGTTAAACCTTTTGTTGGTAAGAGAAGAGCCTAGAGGATTTTCAACCCCTCTCCATTATGAGAAGGAAATTATGTATGCTTTGAATAATGACATTTATGTCTGCACATTCCTCAACTTCACATAAATGGTGGCTCTTAACACCTGTAACTATATTTTAATATTTTGCCATGTCTCTGCTGTATTTTACATGGAGATCACACCTAAGTATGATTTGACTGATACTAAATTTTTTTGCCTTTTAACATTATAGAAAGTAGGAAAATCTTTTAAGAATATTATCTAACCAATATTATATCATGGTATATCTCTGTAAAATTAAGGAATACCGGAAACACATGGAAAACTTTGACCAGAATGTGGATTACATCACAAACTGGATCATTCAGGCTGAAGCACTTTTGGATGAATCTGAGAAAAAGAAACCTCAGCAAAAAGAAGACATACTTAAGGTAGCAAATAAAATATTATGAAAAGTAATTTTCTAACTGCACACCAATTATGTTGATCATCAAGGAGTTGTTAATAAGAATGAAAAAAGTTCTTCCTCTCTTCCTTCTTCCCCCCCCTTCCTATTTTCCTTCCCTCCCTACTTTCTTAATTCACATGGGAGTTAATGACTTTGAAGAGTTTTGTAATCTGGATATCTGTCTATATCCACCTCTCACCTAATTACACAAAACAAATTCTGATGACAAAGGGATTCCAGGATTTATTTTGGTGTCATTTTGCAAATTCCTGCCCATTTGACTACTTAGTACTGTGTTCTTATATCTAACATAAGGATCAGTTTCCCAGTATCATTCACAGCCTATCTGAGTAAACACCTGAAATCCAGTCATCTGGACATTTTGCCTATGCAATATCCAAATCTTCATAATTAGTAACAGTACTGAGCTTATATAAATCTGGATGTTTTTATTTTTAACTATATGTAAAATAAACATGGCTTTCTGTTCTCTGTGTATTGAAACCAATTATTAGGATGTCCTGAGTCATCTTTCTGAAAGGCAACTTAATCTTCATTAAAAAAAAAAAAAGTGGTGCCTATAAAAGGATATGAGAGGTATAATGTGTGAATTTATCTTATTGATGCTATGTTATCTCCATTTGATAACATCTTTCAAAATTAAATAGGAAGAGTTGAATTTTAACAAATTTCATTTAAATTAATGATTCCTTATTTTGTTTTGCCAAAATAATAGTAATTAACTAGTGGGTTCCTATTTAACACTCAAAAATTGTAGTTTCTGTCTGAACAATTCGTTTCTTTTTTATGAAATTACTCTTTTCCCAAGATTATAGTTTATTTTTAATGAAAAACTGTTGATGTATTTCAGGCTATCCCCAAAACATATTCACTCTGTTGTGTGTACCTTATCTTTCTCTTGTCCTTTGATGTGTAGTTAAGGAATGCCATCTTATGGTGAATTTCCTTCAAGGCCTTTGAAATAATAGGACCTGAGTTGTTTCACTTATACCCTCTCTGACCCCTTGAGTCAGGCAGAACCTTCCTCACTCCCTCTGTCTGTGACACAGAATCCTTATCTGTTGGAAAATCCATTTTTCCCCCATGACACTCAATATAATAAAAAGGAACTCAAAAGTACCCAGGAGGAATAGAAAATTGTTCTTCAGCTACCTTTCCTCCTGAGCATATATTAAGGTTGCTCCACAGCTATGAAATTGAGTAGAGTTAAGATAAAATAAGACTAAATATTCAATATTATGATTGTTGTGGGCAACATAGAGAAGTCAGGAAAATATCCCTCATCCTTCCTCAGACTAAAAATAAGCCTAGACTCAACTTAAACAAGGACGGTGATCTATTTTCCTGAGATGGCACACATTCTCAGTCTCCTCTATTTTATGGAAGTTGGCTTTTTTCCTCCCTCTGTATTCCTCTGCATGTGCTCGTTCTTTCTTTCTCTTTCTCTTTTTCACTCTCTGGCTCTCTCTCAACTTCCATTTAATTACTAACGTCAAGCCCTGTCTCTTGCTCACGGAATATAGCGTTTAAAGGCTGAAATGAATGACATGCGCCCAAAGGTGGATTCCACGCGTGACCAAGCAGCAAACCTGATGGCAAACCGCGGCAACCACTGCAGGAAAGTAGTAGAGCCCAAAATCTCAGAGCTCAACCATCGATTTGCAGCCATTTCTCACAGAATTAAGACTGGAAAGGTAGGAAGATCTGCTCCAAGGTGGAAACTAGTGATAAATGATCTCTTGCAAAGGTTGCGCAGTACTCTGAAGGGGGCAAGAGACCCCCACAGCAAGGTTTTCAAAAAGAAAATGAAGGCCAAAATGTATATAAGGAAATTTTGCCACTGAATCTCATGGGAGATCAATCTCTCCCCGCTACCCCCCACCAGTCTCCCTGTCTCTCTCTCTCTGTCATTTTTCCTTTCATGCCACAGCTATTCTAGAACTGCATTCTGTACTGGTTTCCATATGTACTTTCAGGGGTAACCTACAGCAGAGTAACAAATAGCATGCTGCAGGCCAACAACAACAAAGCACAAAAGACATCCAACTAAGGAAAGCACTACTGACTTATTTTGCCAAATACAATATTGCTTGTGTGTAATATGGATCAAATATCCAAAATTGGGCCTTGTATATCTCCTGCATGATCTAGGGTGTTTGTATCTCTTTATTGGTTGTGCACATGTGTGTATGTGTGTATATTTAACTTGCTCTTGCTAACTGCCGATACTTACTGTGACGAAACCCATTAGGCTACAATGACATGCTCAAGCCATGAAAACAAATGATTGCAAAGCTTATATATCTTAATTTTGTAATTTTATATGTCTATTTATATTCAATTTAATCAAGAACCAGGGGATATGGAACTTTTGCATGATAAACCTTTATATTTGTGTAACATTTAATGAAGACAAAATCTTACCTAATAGGTAGCTTGCAAAAATATATAAAAATATATAAATCCAACTTTTTTGGGTTAGTGTCAAGTTGCAAGGTAATTACCCCCAATTTTATAAAATGTCAATTGACACATTTTTCAATATATATAATATACTTTCAAATACAAAAATGTATATAAAATAAATATATGTATTTACATATACAGATAATTGCTATAAGTAATCTTAAGTGAGAAAATCATTTTTGAAATATTTGTGAGAAAATATGTAATATGTCAGGTAAGTGTTGACCCCTGGAACAATAGGACAATATGCTTGAAAATTATTTTGAAAAATATGGACACCCAATAATAGCATGATTTACAATTGCTATATTTTCTAACGCATTCCAATGTATCACTGTTATATGTACTGGTACATATTTAAAAGAGTTTCTAAACTATACTGAAATGTGATTTGAATTTTAAATACTTTATACCCATGAAACATAGTTATCCTTCAGAACTCGCCTTCCCAAAGCAAAAAGGTATTAGCTTACCTTAATGCATTGCTTCTTCTTTGTAATGTTTAAGTTAACGAGTTAGTGATACTCATTTATGTACTATTTTAAGGAAGCCGTCCTCACCTGGAAAATATCTGAAAGGCTCCAAAATTTACTTTCACAGCATAATTGTCCTTTGTAAGAATTTACTCTGCTGTTTAAGACAATTGTTTTTACTTCTAGGGATTATCATTAGAGTATGTAATATCTAAACAACCAAAGGCTATTTCAGTTATCTTAAGAAATGGATGCTAATACTTCATTACTAGGTTTTGTATTCTTCCTGTTGTATATATCAGTAAGCTAGAAAATATTTCAGAGAAAACAGGGTATTGTTTTCTTGATCCTTTCAACAGTAGATTGAGACAAGTTATGTCACAAGATTGTGACTTGTAGATATTGAAAAATGAGTAGAATTCAACCTGTATGATAGGAAGCTGCCAGACTTAGCATGGCCAAGAGGAGTTTGTGAATTTTCATCCTATGTTCTGTACACATTTGTCAGTTACTTCTATACATCATTCATTAGGTGAGCCACTCGCTGTACTTCTTTTATTTTCCTTACTGAAGAAAGGCATAAGAGATTTTAAATAAATATTTTCAATTATATATTAACAAAAGAATCACATTGTCACTTTTCAAAATACTCCTTTTTCTCTAAATTAATAAAGATGACTGGATGTGATAGTGACCCCATTTGGGGGCTTTGAGAGATAATTATGCTCTGTCATCATGATGAAACCAAAAACATGGAGATAAAGCTTATCTGACATTTTGCTGATTTGTTCATTGCATTGTGCTAGTGTGGAAATATGCACAGGTGCAAAAGATACTTAAAAATATCTGTTTACGTGGGCGCCTGGGTGGCTCAGTTGGTTAAGCGACTGCCTTCGGCTCAGGTCATGATCCTGGAGTCCCAGGATCGAGTCCCGCATCGGGCTCCCTGCTCGGCGGGGAGTCTGCTTCTCCCTCTGACCCTCCTCCCTCTCATGCTCTCTGTCTCTCATTCTCTCTCTCTCAAATAAATAAATAAAATCTTAAAAAAAAAAAATATCTGTTTACGAACACAAACTTAAATAGTCATTGCAGTCATCTGACATGCTTAATACTAGTACATCTTCATGGAGATGTTTAATTAATGAGGTAATTCCAGCAGTCACATAGTATAATATGAAGAGCAGTGGACATGGAAGATGGAATCCGAGGCGTAATTTTGTCAGCATTAGGCAGAACATGTGGTTTCTCTTAAATTCCATTTTAATGTTTATAAGATAAAGGAGTTAAACTAGATTAGTAATCCTTAAAAGGAAAGCATTCCACCACTACCCCCAGCCCCCAAGGGTTATTGTTTAGAACAGAATGTATAAAATGGATAGCAGAAGGGTTAGTGGATGGGTGATTTCTGTCCTTTTATCTTTCTTCTTCCTGTGGTAGGGTTCAAGAGATACAACTTATGTCCATAGAACATAGTGTAAAGTCTCTGGGTTAGATTAGCTAAAATTAGGAGTAATTAGATTAGCTCTTAATAGTTCTGAATTGTGACAGCCCAGTGATCTTTTGTTGATGTAATAAGGAATTTAAAATAATGACCTGTATGTGTGTTTGTTTACAGAGTATGGTAATTCTGGAAGTGCTGTTATTCTCAGGGGTGACTTGATCCCAAAGTCAAGCTCCTAATACAGTAGAGCTTATGCATGGGAAGATTGGGGTGGAGTATGCCCTTCTTATGGTTGAGTTTATGGGCAGGTTTTACTTAAAAGAATAATCTTGGAGAAAATCTACAGTGATTAAATAAATTAAAGTAGATTGGGAATATATATGGGTAGAAAAGAGACTCAGTATAAGAACTAACTTCAGGATCCTTTTAAAGGTCAAAGAGAAAGGGCACTTGAGTAGAGCAAAATTTTACCCTGAAAATTCACTGACAATCCCTGGATTCATTGTTTGGTGAAGAAGACAAAGTTTATGTCTTCTGCAAAGACTGTTCATGACAAGAAATTACAAAATCCGGAAGGCAGTAGCCACTGTGGTCCTCAGTTTAGATTGGTTGAGAACTTGTCCATCAGATGCAGCTCTCTCTAGTGGTAACTTTTAACCATTAATGAGGAACAGCATGGTGAAAGGAAAAAGTTTTTAGTTTCAAGCCACAGAACTTGCTTTGAATGTGATCATGGATGTGACACTTTACCTCTCAGAGCCACCTCAAGATTGTGGTAAAGATCGAATGACTTGGGCGCCTGGGTGGCTCAGTTGGTTAAGCGAAAAAAAGATCAAATGACTTAAGATATGTAAAAGCATACGTTTTAAAAACCTACATGTTACTTTATAAATACAAAATGGTAAAAATCCTTAATATCCACAATTATTTCCATCGTATTATATATTAGCTTTGAATGGCCAAATTTTGAGAATTGAAGCAGAAATTGATGGGAAAAAGAAATGGAGGAATGACTGATTTCTCCTTCTGGCCTCTGCTGGAAATGGGCTGGGATCAAAAAGATGTCTTTGCTATTTCCATTGTAAGGACCAGCCTTATAGATTATCAAGTGGACCAATATAAGAAATACTAGGAAGTTCTGCTTGTCCCAAATATGACATAAAATGCTACCTCTTCCTATTTCATTTAGGTTTATCAGTAGTATCTGACTGCTTTGAGAAAGCTTAATTTCTCCTAATCTGTATGAAATCAGTTTGAGAAAATGGCAGTTTTAATGGGGATGGTCAGAATTATAGAAATGAATCAGTGGTAACTTCCTAACCTGGGTAAAGTCAATGAAATCAATGGGGGGAGGCAATATGTCTCAACTCTTCCGGTTTTAGGGCTTCTGAACATGGTGGTGTAGCAGGGTGCTGATGAGGAAGATACTGTCAGGAAAAGAAGATAACAGGAAACAGATGCATAGAGGGCAGAAATAAGCTGACTACTTAGTGCTGTTCCTTATGGCAGCTCTACTCCTCTCCATCTTCTGAGAAGCCAAGTTGGAGAGGGGAGTCTGCGTTTTGGGAGAGATGGTAGTTGAGGTAGATCTTAAAGGATTAATGAAGGAATGGTTGGGAAAAGGGACCAATATGAATGATCGCTTACCAACAGTGTAGTATTTCAGGTCATAATGTTTGGTTCTGTGGTACCTGTATTGCTAGCTAAGGTGTGATGAATTCAAGGAGCTTACTGTTTAATTGTGGAGCGAGGTATGTTCATGGATATTGGGCCAAGAATGAGTGTATGCTGAGTGAATTTACCAGCCACTCTAGCAACATAGAAGAGGTAGCAATTCAGGATAACCTATGAAAAAGCTCAAAGTGTATGGAGTGTTCAGTGGAGAGTACATTCAGTTTACTTACAAAATGTAGAGCATGGAGTGTGAAGCTTAGTTGTGGATGATAAGAATGAAGAGGATGATTAGACACAGTGTGGAGAGGTCATGACAACCAGACAAATAGTTTATGCTTAATTCAGTAGGCAATGAGGAGTTCTTAATGTTTTTTTGTTTTGTTTTGCTTTATTTTGTTTTGTTTTGTTTTCAGTGCACTGTTGAAAGGTTAGTCCAATAGTGGTTGGGAAGAGAATTCAACTGAATAATAACAGGAAGTAGGGAAACCAATTAGGAAGCCATGGTGATAGTCTAGATGAGAAACACTGAGTACCTCAAATAAAGGGGTATCTCTGGGAATGAAAAGGAAGCGATAGTGTAGAGCAGTGACTTTCAAAACTTTCTGTACTTGGAGGAATTGTTAAAACACAGATTGCTGTC